TTAATATTGCAATCTGTCCACCGTGTACATATACGACAAATGGGTACTCTTCTACCATTCGTTTCTATTTCCGATGAGTGCTCCGATCAACGAATTGTGAGATCATAAGAGTCTAAATAATTCAAATCATTTGATAAGATTATTTCCGTAAACGTTGAATTAACTAAAGAAATCGAGCAGAATGAGGAAGTTAAAGAGATATAAATTGCACGATTAACGATCAATCATCTATCATCGCAATAATTTTATTATAAATGCAATTACGAGTATGTCGCGATAAGAATACGACAGCAAAACGTCTTGTCCGCATTAACGTATTGCCACGTACGTAAATTCGATACTTTCTTTTTTTTTCATCGCAATAGCGTATTTCGAATACGGTAAACATCGTAGTTTGAATGAATGGTAATTGCTCAGTAAAAAATACAATAAATACACATACATTACTATCGGTAACTTTTGATTTTTAAAGTATTTTATGAGCCTATATAATGAAATTCGTCAATTAAAATTACTTAAAGGAGAAATTTGGATCATCAACAACGGTTAACCTTGTCAATAAAATAAAAATGATTTGTTACAACGAATTAAGCTACAACGTGCGTCGACATATTGTATGCGATTTAATGATTGCGGAGGTATTATATCGACAACATAACTTTTTGTAGATTTCATGGTTTTAGGCCTTTTAGTTTTCTCGTTTTAATCATTATTTGACAGAATTAAGTTTTTATATATGATTATTTATTGATCTATTAAATTTTAACTTCAGGTGACAACCTTAACTGAAGAAGACTGTGCAATCCGAAACGTCTTTGTTGTTTTGACATTAATTATTTATTAATATTAATTATTCTGTGATTTTAAATCACATTTTACCTTGCTCTTCCTTGGTCGAGTTAACCTTTTTAATTGTTTTTGAAACACACAAGCTTGTTATTATAGATTTAAGTCAGAAATTATTAGTTATATATAATATTTGTTGGCCGCATTTATTATCACAGACAACTTATCTATAAAAAAGTGGAAGTTTGTTTTACGAAATGTTTTGTCGAAAAACTTCAAGGATTGAATAAAATCATGGTAAATCATTATACATCATTGAACGTGATGCTTTAGTGTTCACTGCAATCGAAATACGCTATTGAGAAGATTTATTATTATACTATTCTGCTAATAGCAATTGATTTCAATTTACAAATCAGACAGTCGCGCGTCATTATATTTAATCTCTCCATATTAATCTTCTCAAAAAGGTCACGTTTACATAAATCAGTTATATATGTAATTATATACATTACCGTTCATAAGTTCGGGAACGCTTGCCATTTTCTCGCATGAAAACTTAGGTATCTCGGTGGAAAAAAAAATCGTAAAGATCTTTGATTGAAAAATTATTATACTGATTTTTTTCGAAAAGCATTTAAAGCATTGAAAAGTCTATTTTAAAATGCTTAAATTTTATCCGACGATGCTTGATCAAGGTACAGCGTTTCAAAGTAAAACAAAAATATTGAAAAAAATATCAGTTTTCAATTTTATGTAATTTAGAAATAAAATATCGTATAAAATAAAATATAAAAATAAATATCAAAATAAAATATAAAAATAAAATTCAAATACCGATTTAAAGCTCTATCTTTCCTCTTTAAAATATATATTTTTTTAATTTCTGTACATTCTTTTTCATCGAAATACTTGAATTTTCATAAATTGCGAGAACATCGCAAGTGTTCCCGAACAGTTGTGAGTGCGCGTGCGCGCGCAATATTTTATACATATATATCTTTTAAATATTTCTAAATACAAATATTTCAAATTTCATTACATTATAACTCGATGTTACAAAGAAGTAAACGTAAACCGGAACTCTATTTTATGATGCAAAAAGTATGTTTATTATACAAGAAAAATGATTTTTCTTTTATTTTGTCTTATATTCTCATGGAGTGTTTCTTTGAATTTAAATAAGCGTTGAAATCCACGCAATGTTGTTAATTATTACGCTAACAATATCATTAACATAATATTATGTTAATAACGTCATTATTTTATGCTATAATTTTATTTTAATAAAGTTATGCAATAAAGTTATTTATAAAAAATCGAATTGTAAAATAATTTCGATCTTTTTACTAATATTACTAAAAATTAGCAGTTTCTATAAATTTCTAAGAAATTAAAAAATCTGGCAATTCAGATTTTTAACAATTAAACTTAAAAAAGTTTGTAAAGACGTTTCTTGTTAATAATTCTCGTGATCTATTGCTAACCAATCGTAAAAAACAACTTCCCATAAGAAACAAGTTCACAATCTATTGCTAACGAATCGTAAGAAACAAGTTTTCGATATTTCGATATTTCTAGATTACAGATTTCTTGCAATGTACATATACTCAGTTACATACATCAAACAATCAATAACGCGCGATATGATACTAAAAATTGCAGAATTAATAAATTCATTGAAAGTCTGTTTTCTTTCTTTCGAGAATCGGAAATACGAGCGCAACTATGTTTATCTTCATTCCCGTTCTGCTTCGTTTTATCGAATCAGAGAATCCTCTCGTAAAATAAGAGATACGCTTGACTTTGCAGCACTGTATTTTCATCTACCTCTGATACCCTAGAATATACACAAATGACAATCAATAAATGTAGAAGTAATGATGAAATAAATAGTAAGTGTAATAATTAAACTAATAGTTACTCATATACAATAAAATAAAAATTAGACAAGTGTAATAATTTTTATCACATTCTTTCAACACAAGAAATAACTCAAGTAATGTTAATTTCTTAGAAATAAAAGATGTGCTTTCGAAAATTATATTTAACTCTTTAAATGAGAAAGCAACTTCCGGAAATTGATTTTATAATTTCGCGTAGCTCATAATATTAATTTTTATTATTTTTGTTATGATATGTTGTATGTATATGTTATAATAGCAAGGATCTTACCGAGAATCTGATACATAATACCATCTTCCAGGTGGCTGTTCCACAACAGATGCAGCTTTCGCAGATGCTTCTTCTCCTTCCGAATCTGAGCTACTCGATTCATTATCTGTCTTAGGATCTTTATCCTTGGGAAGAAACTTCCATCGAGGATCGTCTGGCGATAATGGCAGTCTCGTCTAACAAGAATATGAATGAAGGATTCAATAAGGAATATTAATTCTTCAAATCTATCATGCTATAATCACATTATATTTCCGTATGACAAAAGATCAGAAACAAAATAATTGAAAACGTCTAATATCTTTCTATTTAGCAAGGAAAAATATTCTATAAAGGCTAAGAAACGAGCAATCAATTTGGTTGTAAAAATTGAAAAATTTACTAAAACATTTCTACCAAAAAAAAAAGCAGTAACACGTTTCGACACGGAGTCTTCTTCAGCTAAAACTACTATATAAGGTCAAACAATTAAAATAAAAGTTAAAATAAAGAATCGTAATTATCACAAATTATAAAATAGTGAGATGCTGCGTATTACAATAATCTCTTTCCAAGAAACGAACCGGGGCTGCGATTATAATCTTCCTCAAAAACTTGCATATTACGCGTTCGAGGCATTCTCTTAATTTTTCTATCTTTGATTTTTTCATTTTTTTTTTATAACGACTTGTAATATAGTTGTAGCAACCTTATTCTTTCGATATATTCAGGTAAACAAAAAGATAATACGAGATTCTAGCATATTTTCATTTGAAACTATTTTCAAATTGTATTCTTGTTTAAATTTTTTAGAAACAAGTTATCATTACCTTATTTTTATTTAAAAAAATCTTAAATGTCTCGGTTGTAAAATTCTAAAATTTTAAGATCTGATACGCTGAATATAATAATCTACCTTAACATATGCAACATAGTGACCACCGTGAACGGTTCCACTGTGCTCGACGACCCCATAAAGCGCATAAAGTCGAGGTTTTTTGTGATCTGTGCAAACCGGTGCCAAGTCTAACAATATCGGAAATGACACGTGCTTGAAAACCTTCCGAAAACCGACTCTCTGCGTTTGGAATCTTTTCAGATGCAGTATCAATATCGGGGGTACTTGAGAGATGAGGTATTGCTTGGTACTCGAAGTGCACACCATCTTCGACGAACCTTCATGATTCTGAGAAAAAAAAGAAAATAAAAATAAGATATTGATTCTCACTCATGTAAGGCGACACAAAGGAAAATGTAACGGTAACAACGGTTCTCATTCTCATGTATTTCTTCGAATGTATCAAGTTTCATTAGAGATCTTGAAGGATCACTATCTTTTTCTTCTTTAGTTACCTTCTTCTCACGACCTGTGCATGCCTCGCACACGACTTTGTTGCTTCCCGTCATTAGCTCCAATGCGGTGAATTGATTCAAGCACGATTCCACGGAACATTCGCCCTCCTTGGTCGTGTACCTGCTAGGCGATTGATGCCCGGCGATTCCCAGCCTAGACATTCCCGCTATTATATCACCAACGTCATTATAAACATCTTGTTCTTCGGGATCATCTCCGTTGGAAGTTCCATTATTATATTTCCTTCTCGATAGAGCAGTTGCCATCCATGTCTCAACACCGTCCAATCTGAGAAAATACGTAAATTAACATTCAACATTCTAGAAATATCTAAACGAATCTTTTAAATGCAATGTTTAAAATTTGCTTTGTCTATGCAATTTAATACGTAATTTCTATTATTTTGAATCTAAATCTTTTCAAAATGTTTGTATTTAAAAGATATAAATCTAGTGCTGACTTTTTCACATATATTAAAAAATTAAAGAAATTGTAAGATTTAAGAATCGCAAAAATCAATAATCAACAAGTTTAACAAGCTCAAGTTTTCAGAATAGAAGAACTGGACGTATATTTTAAACGATTGAACATCTGAATATCCGACCTTTCCGCGACTTCTTCGTCATTGACGGGGCTAGTGGGGCTCTCCTTAGAAGCGGCAGAGCTGCTTAGACTCGCGGTAGGTACTTCGGGACTCGTGACGTCGGAATTGACGATCATGGAGCTGGTTAACACCGTGGCGGACGCTTCATTCTCGGAGCTGACTGTGCCGACATTCCTGTCAGTCTTCTCGGACGGCATCCTGATTTGAGTCAAGTCCGTCATCGACACATCGGTTGGACTAGGACTAGTTAACGTATTAATGTTCACTGGATGTCTAACTTGTGCTGGTTCCAGGTTACTGTTGTCCAGATTACCGTCCCCCGAGCTAACCGTGTTACTGAAGTCGTTGTTTGGATGACGATCAGCGGGTGATACAGGGCTGGTGACGGCGGATGCTTTCTCCGAGCTATAACCGGATTCTCCAATCTCCGGATGAGAATTATCCACCTCGATATTGTCTTCTATGTCTGCGTCACTCTCTTCTAAAAATAAAAAAAATTTCTGTACGAAAGTTGTTTGTTTAAAAGATCAATTTCAAAAATAAGAAAGTGTCTTCTCTCCGGAACTTTTATAGCGCATAAGAAAAACCCGACTATCAAAACTATCATAAATAGCTTCTCTACATGTACAGACAAAAGAGAAAAAAAAGCTATACCTGACTTCAGAACATTGTCATTGTTTTCTTCCGCAGGATTATTTAGATCCATCAACACATTAGAATTATTATGATTCTCGTGTCTCTTATTCTTCCGATTCTTCCTGGCTGCTTTTTTTTCCTTCCTCAATTGCTTCCATGGCATGTCGGAAGTTTGACAATCACGTTGTTGAACGTTCATCATATCGAAAGCATCCTCAAATTCGCTATTTTTCCTTCTATATAATCAAGATGATCATATACTGCTTTGAAAGTTAATAAAATTGATTATTATAATCTAGAGAAAATAAGGATTTTTTTCCGTTACTTTAAGAGTGGAGGTTGAGGCTTGTCCGCCGTGACGGGCAGACTCAAATCTAAAAATGGCTCAGTGCGCTGCGATGAGTGATGGCAATCCAAGCATTCTAGGGTAGACACCAACACGCCGCGGAATACCGCTTCTGGTCCGAGCAGCCGCGTGCTGGCCTGATTACCATAGAATTTCACACGTGATTTCAAACCTTTTTCCACGCAATCCGGCTTGGTCTTCCCGCTCAGGCCGACTTCCTTCAAAATTATGCTCTGATATCTCTGCAGGGCGACATACACAATTTTAATTTACTTATAAGACTCATTATATCAAATATCATTAAATATTAATTAAAAGCTAATCTAATATTTCATTAAAAAAGAATAGCAGGTTAAACTTAAAAAAAATCGATTTCTTATACATTTTCTTAAATAAAATAAAATATAACATAAGTAAAATGAAAGTATAATATAAATACAGTATAAAATATCTATGATACTTTATACTGTACTTATGTCTAGCACTGTATTCTAGATTGTGTAAATCTAATGAAAAAATTATAGAATTTTAAGTACAAGAGGAGATCTCTGTTCTAGCACATTAACATGGCTTACATGGTGTTTTAATACAAGAGTTCTCTTCTATTTCTTTCATATATATTCTCTATAGCCATTGTCTATTTAAAAATAGTTCTTTGTAAACAGAAAATTTTTAATTATAATTAGTTTAACCTTTAATGGTACAAGAGTGCGAATTCGCACCGCAAAAATGTTCGAATTTCTGGCATTTGCACAGACATTTATCGCGACTTATCCCTACTACGTTGAATATGCCCGGTACCTCAGGTGACAGGTACGATGCACAGCTTTTTGTTTTTATCCTCAGGAAAGATGTATGTACAATTTAAGATGTCAAATCTAAATTCGCACCATTGTTCCATTATAGTGGGTGCTTGAAAGAAGTGTACCATTTGAAGGTTAAATTATTATTACCTTTTAAATAGAGAACATTAAAAAAAAATAAAGCCTAACGACCAATATTATGATACAATATTTGATACTGCACAATATTATTGATTCTTTCGATGTTATACTGTACTGATTGTGAGTATATATTTTTGTCTAAATTATATAAATAATAGTGTATAAAATAATTGTACAATAATATCGATCGTCTAGAGGCTGCTTTAAACTCTGGTAAGATCAAATATTTAAAGTAAAACATTTAAGAAAATTTGTTTGCTTACTCGGAGATCCTCATTTCGAACTATTTCCAACAAATGTCGAAGAAATTCGTGTGAATCGTGTTGCCCACCATCCACACATTGCGTGGTCTTTTTCCTGAGCTTACAGAGGAGATTTAAAGGAGTATAAGTTTGATGACCGTTCGTATTTTGCATTTTCGACAGAGTTTCACAGAGAATTGATGTGAAACTTCCCCATCGCTCTAAGGTCCCCTCGATCGGTGGCTGCGAGGCAAATAAAGAAAGGAAACAATTATTTTCTTTAAAAAAAATTGTTTTTAAACTATTTTTTAAAACTATTTTTTTAAATCTTGAATGAATAAATCATGAATCTTGATGATCTTTGATGATATTAATATATCTCCCTAATTCGTTGATTTATTTAATTAACCCTAGGCATACACACTAGGGTCCTGGAGATCCCATCCATATTTATTACTGTAACTCTAGTAAAAATGAACATATTTCAATTAATTTGTTTTTTTTTCAATCAATAGAGAATCGACCAAGGAACAAGCCCATAATGTTTAAAAGTCGATAGAATTAAGGAGCTCCAAGATATACGGATTTAAAGAAAAAGACAAGTTCAAAAACGCGAAAAAATCTCGGTTTAGCACTTTTTTCTAAAAAATCATATCTCTTTTGTTTATAGATCGATTTGAAAAAATCCTTGAAAATTCTGAAAGGGCATGCTTGAAATAGTAACAAAAAAATTTGACGATCTGATATTTTAATATTTTAACAAAATTGCAAGCAGTCCCGGGAACCCCACACTCACTTCAACTGTTCACTGCTCGGTTGTTGAGCGACAATTGCCACGCGTCAACACGACTTCCTACTGAGATCCCAAACTTTTTTTACGTCAATATCCCAAATCCCTCCTTTTCCAATTTCAGAAATGCCAAACTGAGAAAGTTTCGCTGGGGTTCCGGGGACCCTAGTGTATATCTAGAGTTAAATTTGATTTTGTCATTTTATCAAACATTAACGCGATTAAATTTATCTAAATGATAAACTTGTTTTATTCAATAATGTTGTATGTTCAATAACTATTTGTTTATCTGTAAATTCATATCGCTTCATTGTTGCTTGCTTGGAGATTTTTCGTCTTCCAAGAAATAATGTAATTCCGCGATTTGTTTATCTCTAAGTTACTTTAAAATTAATTTTTATTTTGAATACTTTGTTTTTATTACGATAAAATTATTTTTTTAGTCAAAATTTTTAGCATTACATACAGGATGATAAATCCAAGAATCAAACTCGAATAGTTTGATTGACAGACTGCAATAATTTAGCTGAATACAGCTGATTCTTGCAAATATCTTGAAATAACAAAAAAATTTTGATTAAAGTTAAACATACCACTTCCACTTCTTCCTCGGTATCGATAGGTTTGTGCTTTCCACCTGGCAAAACAAATTTCTGCCCAGGCAAACGTAAATCGTCCAGCACCTTCACCAAATAAGGTGTTTGCGCTAGACATTGAAGTACAGCATTGAAAAAACAGGTGTTTCCTAGATTTGCTAAACCCTATTGCACAATTAAAGAATTATAAATATTTAATTATTTAATTATGAATATTTTGAATATTAGTATATATTTATCTCCATATTATTGTATTATACATTGGAAAAAGAAATTGTAAGATTAAAGAAGACTAACTTAAAATAAAATAAGACAAAAAAAAACGTATTATATAATTCATACCCCAACTTTAGGAAGATTGTTTAACATTTTATGCTTCTCTTTTTCCTGTACATCAATTATCATCTCTTTTTGGCACTGAATTACTGGCATTTTCGCTTGCTGAGATATTTGCGGCATATTGACACACTTTTTGATAAATTCTACAGTTTCCAGCAGTTTCTTCCTGAAAAGCAAAACATACGAATGTACATACACATGTTTATATTTGTAAACATGAACATGCTTTTTGTATTAAAATAGTTTATTATTTAACGTACCTACTGTTGGATTGAACTTCAATTTCACACTGGTAGCACCAAACGCTCCAGTGATAAGAATCTGTTACCATGCAATGGCAGTCACTATGAGGCTTCCTATAATGCTCAACAGCATGCTGCTTTTGCTCTTTACCACAGCCTTGTTCTCCACATTGCAAACAAATCCATAGGGGCTTTGAAATATCACACTGCAAATATGAATAATTTGACGTTAGACCTTAATATCTAGTGTGCCTTCCAATCAAATAATTGTGTCTGTCATTTACAATTTCCTCTGTTGTTTTAAGGTCCACCTCCAGTTTTTTGCACATGGAACATTTGCTCAATATACCAGTCTTTTTTAGATTTTTTTTTACTTTGTTCAGGTTAATAGCCTTTGCTATGTGTGGACATTTTGCACCTGCTAACAGTTAATTAATATTGCTTGTGTATTGAAATATAGATATATGTGCAATTTAAATAAATTTTACAGATTTTATAAATCGACATTTTACGTTCTGAATGTGTTAATACAAAATTTGTTCTCAAATTATTGAGTGCTAGAATCTTAACTGACTGAGACTTGAAATTTTCAAATTGTAATACTTTTCTCGTTTTATCCACCAAATTTTTAAGTTGTTCGATTCACTTCTCTATCTTTGAAAATTCAAAGATACATCCCTCCGGAGAAATAAGAGCGAGTAAAAGATTCAAAAGCCGAAAATGAGCGATTTCATGGAACTCTGGGACGTCTGGGTGTGGAGATACGTGTTTTCTAACCTGCGCTCGCCTCCTCGCAGGATTCGGTGGAGGTCTCGCTGACATCGGGATTCGCATCCGGTTGCCTGTTCCGCTTTTTACTCATCTCGTCGCGCTACCGTGGACGTTCCCGTCGTCGAGTACGCGACGCTGTCGGTGCTCGTCACGACAGAGATCACCTCGCTCGTCAGCTAAATCCTGACGTTTGCGTGCGTAAAAAAAACATGTGGAAATTCAGTCCGTCCGCGCGCGCGTACACGAAACTTCTATGTATGTACATACACCAGTTACATCCAAGGTGTAGAGGAGCCAACTAATTTGCCGACTCTAAAAGGCCCGTATTCATAGTTCAAGGCTTATTTTCAAGATCGTCTTAAGTACAGTCTTAAGATGGCGCTTCGATTCATAGTCGTGAAACAAGTCAATACTTGAGCAAAATCTCAAGGCGTAACTTATCGAAGGTGATCTTCTTTGAAAACGTCTTGATGTGATTCGTAAACATATCTTATTCATTATAAGTACGGATTTAAGATCATCTTATCTGTTATGAATTCATAGTCATATAAGATGATC